GTACATAATTCTACATTTGTGAGTTCAACTTTCATGAGAAAGAGATTGCACGACAGTCCTTGTATTAGGTGAATTGAAATATACTATTTCTTTTGTTTTTTACAGTGCAAATATTTGTAATAAAAAATAAACATAAAGTGAGCACTCTACACTTTGTATTCTGAGTTGTAACTGAAATCAGTATATTTGAAAATGTAGAAAACGAATATTTAAATAAATGGTATTCTATTAACAGTGCGATTAATCGCGATTAATTTTTTTTAATCGCTTGACAGCCCTAATTTTAACATTACTTCAAAGCACATTTCTTTTTGTTCTGAGTGTCTCCAGAAATGAATGGCTGCTCCATTAACCCATTACATCACATATCTATTTTCTATAGTGATGCCTTCTGGTCAGGGTTACACAGATCAGCTATGATCTCCTCTGCTAGGCTCCCTAATGAATTAATCAAGGCTGAGGTTCTGCCATTTAGGCAATAGAACTTAATTACCAATATCCTCCTTTCTCCATGGAACGTAGGCCCCGCAATCCCTTCTAATTAGTGCAAACACATTTAGCACCTATTTTCAATTTAATATCTGTATAAGGATTACCATAGATTAACATACTACCAGATACAGCACTGCATGTATCACAATCCCCAATCACATGGGAGCAGCATTAGGGCTACCTATACTTCTGTTACCTTCCTCATAATAAACCCACAAGCAAGGCAATTCATAGTTAAGGTACAAGCCTCTAAGCAATGCTGTGGGCACAGTTGGCTGACATTAAAGAGACAGCCTGCAGTGCCAGTTTATGGAGGTGAAATCCTTAATTGCAAAGACCCAGATTGGTAGTAGGCTTATCCTTCTGTTTATATGTAGCATCGTTCCTCTGTGAACGTCCTTGCGTGTTTGGAATGGTGGCGGCATAGATGATCTTTTTCTTTTTTTAAAAAGTGTAAGCGCTATAAATACAGAAAAGCCATCAGCAGAATATGCCATTGTGTTATTTAATTGCATCACTAGGACATGGGAAAATATCTTATGAAACAAAATGTAATACACATGATCAGCTAAAGATTTTAACTTTTGTCCAATGGATAAAGGCACCGGGCTGAGAAACAGGAGACCTGGGTCCTATTCCTGTCTTTGCCCTGGTGTGATTTTTGGGGAACATTACTTTGATTTTCAATGCCTCAATTTTCCCATCTGTTAAGTGGACATAATGATGCTTACCTGCCATTGTAAACATACTACTACTACTACCTAGATCTTGTCATCCGTAGAGCTCAAAGTGTTTTACAAAGGAGGTCAGTATTGTTATCTCCATTTTACAGATGGGGGAAAGTGAGGCACAGAGAATCAAAATGATTTCCCCCAAAATCACACCTTGGCAGAGACAGGAATAGACTGCAGGTCTCCTGAGTGCCTGTCTCTTGCTCTAGCCACTAGGCCAGCCTGTTCTTTGCATATGACTGATGAGAATTCTTTGCATACGACTGATGAGAATTTATAGAACACATAAGTGTTGTTATTATTTACTTTATGAGCATGATAATACCTCTGAGTTGGGCTTTTTACTTTGTTTCACTTGCAAGAGCAAGTAGTCCAATTTAGGGCTAACTCCTAACTCAGATGGGGCCTAATCCAATTCCCATTAAAGTCAGATTAGTATGTCAAAATCCCAATTCTTCAAACACCCAAACCTGAGTGTAACTTTACACAGGTAAGCAGCCTCGCAGAAAAGTTATTCAGATGCATAAGAGTTTGTAGGATCAGGTGCTAAATCAGCAATGCTTATAAATGTTCGTAGTCTTTAGTCATGTGAGTATTCCTGTTTATATCAGTGAGGATACTCATGGGAGTAACAGACTATTTATATAAGTAAGGATTTGCAGAAAAAGGCTGTTTAGTTTTAGAATAATTTTTGGGGCGGGAGGGAGGGAGGCCAAGACCAAATTCTCAGCTGGTGTAAATTCTCCAGTGCTACGACAGTCTAGCTGAGAATCGGGCCCCAAGTAATGGATCCTGACTGCAGATCTGGGCCCAAAATCCCAGTTGAAATCAACAGAGGCATTTCAAGCAGGACTGGGTTAATAACATTTTAAACTTTCATTAAAAAAAAAAGATTGCTTCTGTGCCACCACTTGTTCATAATAAATAACTCTGGATAAAAATATAAGAAGATGGTGGTAATAAATATTAAATGCTAGTGTTCATTGTCCTCATGTTTTTGTTATTTTGTTTTTATTACACCTATTTCTAAAGTGCCAAACACTGGAATAACTAGGTATATAATTAATACACTAAAAAGAGATTAAAAATCACAGCCTGGGTCAGTAGTAACCAAGGACAGTATGTAGGAGAAATAAAACCACTTAAAATCCATTGCCCACCTATACATAACTGAGATTAGAGTTTTTAATGGACAAATCTGCCCAACTTTCAACTCTTCTGGTAGCATCTGGACTCTGTTATAATGAAACTGATGAATCTCACTTTTAGAAAGGGGCCCCCAACAGCCCCGACCCCCCACTCTCAACACTGGATGCACCAAAGACAATTTTAAAAATGTAAAAAGTCTTGATTTGTCTTATAACTTCCTGTGAGCTCTTAGCAATCATGCAATGTACAATGATCATGTTACATCAATCAGACTTTTGCTTACAGTACAAAAACAACAAGGAGTCCGGTGGCACCTTAAAGACTAACAGATTTATTTGGGCATAAGCTTTCGTGGGTAAATAACTCACTTCTTCAATGCTTACAGTACAGAATTCCTCCTCTGACCAGTGCAGTCCTAGAGGCCTGTTAGAAACATGAGCATTGTCTAGAGTTAGGTTTTCACTGCAGTGTTTGCGTACAGAACTGGGACTGAATTCCCTCCAGTTTTTGGTTTGGCCCATTACTGAGATAAAGTCTATTCATGAAGTTTTGATTTGGATCCAAATTTCCCCAGCCCTTTGGGTCTTTTGGCTCTTGTTTTTTGGTTCAAGCCCACATTGTCTGTGATTCATTTGTTTATACTGTATAGGGAGATTTATACCTAAAAAAATGTAATTGTTTTAAAAATTTGAAATCAGGATAATGTGACATGATGTGACAATGACGCAATTGGTACCGTTCGCTGCTTTGCGGTGTAGAAAAGGCTCCCCGTGCTTCTGCTGTCTGTGCTGCTTAACTGGGGGAGGATAAAGATTAAGCACACCCCATTTATTCCAGTTTATCCATGCCAGATTAAATTAACTTGATCTGTGAAAAATTTCATCCATTCATATAGCCTCACGGGGCTGATTCTGCTCTCACGTTGGCTTTACGCCTGTGTAATTCCATTGATGTCATTGGAGTTAGTCCGGATTTACACCAAGATGGCTGAGAGCAGCATCAAACCCATAGAATTTTTTAAATGAGAGACTAGAGTTAGTAATTCTGAGCATCGCCCTGCTACCATTGGCATCGGTAGTGCAGGAATGGACCTTGTATACTGTACAGGGCCTGGCATATTTTATTGTGCCGATGAATAGTGGCAACTGTATATGCAGATTGCTAGTTACATGTCCAGCTGGTCATTTAACCACCCCGTTACCATGATTACATGAACTGAGGGGTGATCGTTGCATGAGCAAGTCTGCAAACACTGCCCCTTTTCAAAAGGCAACCACAGTTTTCTGAAAATCTGGCCCTGCTTATTTTGAACCAGGAAACAGAAACCGTGTGGGAAAGTGTGGGTGGGCAGCAAGACATGTCTTGTGGGGGGATAGCTCAGTGGTTTGAGCATTGGCCTGCTAAACCCAGGGTTGTGAACTCAATCCTTGAGGGGGCCATTTAGGGAACTGGGGTAAAAATCTGTCTGGGGATTGGTCCTGCTTTGGACTAGATGACCTCCTGAGGTCCCTTCCAACACTGATATTCTATGATTCTCCTCAAACCCCCACCCCTCACTGTCCAGAAATAATAACAAATACATTAAACATGCCCTGGCCATTCAATTCACATTTTCATTCCCCTGCAGTGTTTTGAGAAGAGAAGGGAAACGCTAACCTGCCATAAACACAAAGGGGAAGAGTCTGATCTCAGTTATGCTGGTGTAAATCAGGAGTAACTCCACGGAGGTGAATTAACAAGGAGGCTGATTATTTGATATTGACATGGCAGCCATGTCCTGGTTCCCCACTAGGGATCTATGGGCTGTTGTATTTGAGGGCTGACGAGAGGGGAGGAAAGTGGGGACAATGGTACTTGGGTCCAGAGCTCAGGAGGTCCCACAAACGGTCACACTGCTGTCTAGAGACAGTGAAATGGGAAGCAGTGGGGCTCCAGGGGCCCGCATTTCTCTGGAGGGGTCTGATTACAGCTCTCTCTGAAGCATGGGGTTCAGGCCGCTATCCAAGACATTGGACCAGTAGTGTCATCCATCAAGACAGTTGTTGTCAACCTGTGGTCTGTGAACTCCTGGGGGTCCGCAGACTATGCCTAAGGGGTCTGCGAAAAGGTTGTCATTACCACCGAACAATGGTTTTCAACCTGGGGTCCACGGACTCCCGGGGGTCCGCAGACTGTGCCTACGATTTCCAAAGGGGTCCACATCTCCATTCGAAATTTTCTAGGGGGTCTGCAAATGAGAAAAGGTTGAGAACCACTGCACTGGGGCAGTTTTCTGGTGGTCCTGTACAGACAGACAGTGCCTGGCTGGATGCCTTTGCCGACTCTAAGAAGCCAAGTGGCATAGGCGCACCGGGAGGCAGAGGGATGCGATCAAGAGGCGAGGCCAGGGCGCAGCGCTCCCATGGGCTCAGCGTGCGCCCCAAAGGCTATAGGATGTGGGTGGGGGGAGCGTTGCGGCGGTAGCCTTGCCAGCCCTCCAGGATTGTCCTGGAGTTTCCAGGAAGGAGAGATTCATCTTTAAGTCAAGATTAGGTCATGTGATGAAACCTCCAGGAATACGTCCAACCCAAACTGGCGAGCCTGCGCGGAGGCTGGGGGAGGAAAGCTCGCAGCGGAGCAGTTTGGCGACGCTCCCTGAGCAGTGACAGGCCAGCAGGGCTGGAGCTGCCTAGCTCCCTCCTTCCCCAGCCAGTGACAGGCGAGTCCAGAGAACGGAGCCTGCATGTGCCTGTTCGTGGCTCCACTCAGCCACTGGACTGCAGCGGAGGGGAGGAAACCGGGGGCCCCTGCCGCGCAGGGGGAAGGAAGCCAGGGGGCACAGCGGCTGGAAGGTGGATCCAGTGTGTTGGGGGGGTTGTTTTGCCTTGCGGGAGATGAACTTTCTCAATTAAAAGTGCCCGGAGCTGAGCTGTGAAAATGACGGTGGAATTTGAGGAGTGCATCAAGGATTCGCCCCGGTTCCGGTAAGGGATCACCCCCCCCCCGTGTGTGTGTGTCTGGAGGGGAAGGTGATGGATGTAGGCTGACCAGATGTCCCGATTTTATAGGAACAGTCCTGATTTTTGGGTCTTTTTCTTATATAGGCTCCTATTACCCCCCTGTCCCGATTTTTCACATTTGCTGTCGGGTCACCCTAGTTGGATGGAGGGGAGAGGAGCAGCCCTGGACCCTGCTGGGCTCCGTCTCCAGCCGCTAGGTGCATGCAGATGCCAGGCACACACATGCTGCCCCACCTGGCCAAGCCATCATGGAAGGGCAGAAATGAGAGATGGGGAAAGAACCCATTGGCTCATCCGTAGAATCGCCAGTGCTCCTGCAGAAACACTGCAAGGGGGGGGGGATAGGGTCCTGTCACTCATAGTCCCTGATTTCCACCCTGATAAGGACCGTGTGTTTCCCTCGGACTGCATCCTGCCTTGGCGCAGCCCCTGCAAAAGAGCAGCCGGCAGAGGAGAGGGGAGCCGAGGCGCGGAAAGGCTGCCGGAGGGGCGCCGCAAAGCTCCGCTCTTTCTAATCGCATTAGGGGGAGAGGGGGCGAAAGTGGCCTGTGTAATCCGGGCAGGGTGGGTGCGTGTCTGGGTATCTGCACATGGAGGGGGAGAAGGGGCAAGACTCGATCACGAGGCAGATTGTTGGCTTCATTGTCAGGCTGGTGCATGGGTTAGAGCATGGGAGGCTGGGGGCAGAGGTGCCGGAACAATTGTTCTGGTGGGGGGTTGTAAACCCTGTATATGACGGAAACCACTTCAAACCAGGGGGTGCAGCCGCACCTCCAGCACCGCTAGTTCCAGCACTGTGGCTGGGGGCTGGAGATGAGAAAGCCCTAAGGGATGCAGGGATGCCAGCGTGCCTCGGGACCACGGTCCCCTCTGCATGCCCTGCAGATCACTGTCAGCTGCACTGTGATCAAAGGCAAGGCAGGGCTCTGATTCCTTGTGGCTAGATGTTGCCTTGTGATCATCCACCCGCCAACGATACAGACAAGTTCTGTGATTGACCACAGGCTAAATCCAGGCAGAGAGACCCTAACCGAGGCTGGATTGAAGTCTTGGGCCATGGAAATCCAGTTTAGTCAGACAAAGAACCGCTCGCATGGTTAGCCTTGTAACTCCAATGGGAGGTAATTAATCAGAGTTCAGACCCAAAACCAAAAACGTTTCCGTTCATTTTTTTCTTAATGATTTTTTGTTTTGACTGTCAAGGTCATCTGCTCTGTGTGTGTGAGAGAGAGAAGGGGGTGGGAGGTTACAAAGAGAAGGCACATAAAGGATTCAATTACTATAACCCTATTCCGAGCGTTGATCCAGACAGTTCATAATTGATAAATGATTCTGTCAATCAAAAGAAAAAATAAGAAGTCAGCCCTTCTCCCCGAGGTTCTGGAAGGACGTGAAAGTAAGCGGCAGTATTTATACTAACCGAATCCAACCGAATGATCTGCAATAGGGAGCCCCATTTAATCAGGCAACGGCTGGGCTGATGGATGAGTTTTTTCAATTAGTTATAAGCGTTGCTCCCAGGTCTCGGTGATAAATGGCCAAATACTATTGGCATGGCAGGTTTAGGCTCTGAATTACATGGCGATGATTTTTGTTCTGTACATTCTGCCCTCTTCATTTTGCTTCCCAGTGCTGTTAAAAATCTTCAGTTCCCTCCTGCGTGTATCATTCAAAGAGAGGCTCACAGCCGCAGCTGGGGTAAACTGGTGTCAGTGGAGCAATGCAGATGTATCTCTGCTGAGGATCTATCCTAACGACATGGAATAATTTTCTATACTATCAAATTCATTCCCTTTGGGGATTCTTACAAGGCATCCCAGGCTCTCAGAACAAAAGACTCCATCCTAGTCCTACGGTAATTCAATCAGGCTATTGTACAAATGCAAGAAACTGGGGAAAGGATTCCAGGGTTATGGATGCTGTTGCCCCATTGCACCAGAAGCTTGCTATCCTGGATAGATGCTGTAATAGAAAGATCAGACCCTCCAAGGCTAATAACCTTCTGCTGCGTCTCATACTGTACTTCAGTGCTGACAGAAGCCAGGAAAGACAATAGACGGCGAAAATGTGGTGGGTGGGCCACTAGTGCAGAAATAAGCCTGCAAATAGCAAGGTTCTCAAGGGGTTAGGATAGACAGTCACTGTAGCTGATTCTCAGTTATCCCATTCTGCAAGGGTTTTTTGTTTATTAAAATGAGTGTTTCCCTTTAAATGCATTTAAAAAAAAACCCAGTGGAATGTGCGATTCATTAGAATGGCTGCAATAGTCCATTGGTGTGGATGCTGAGAATGCCTGTGTTTGTATGGGTAAATGTATATAGGGGTGTGTGTGTGTGTGTGAATTTCCCTGTGTCTGTGGTGTGCTTGTGTTCAAGGGGATTACAAAGCGGTTTCCTCCCCCCCCCCCCCCCC